TGTGTTAAATCTCATCTTTACTCTAACAAGTAGGCTCCAAGACACGGCTATCTTTGTGAAATGTAACAACGTTGGGCCTTAAATTCCAACGAGAGTCGACAAAATTACTAGCACAACGTTCCTATACGGAGTTTTTATCTTATACTGAATTTTTTCTATTACTTTCTGATGTTCTTTCTGAACATCAATACAGTACCCTATCTTTGTTAAGGAATCCTAATACTCTTGTTTTTATTATTAATTTAGAACTTATTTCTTTCGATATCCGGATCGGTAAGAGATTAACTTGTGTTTCAGCGAACATCGCGGCAGTGAACAACTGACTGCCCTCAAAATTTGAGGTATAAGCTGTTGTCAATCTGGCGCCCCTTTATTGAGAGGAACCAAATGAGTCCTGAAAGAGGTTAACTGGAAGAAAGGGCAACACTCTTCTTATATTGAGTTCTACAGACATCTAGACATTGAGTGTTTTTGCTTTTTGCCCAGGGTTTTTAAAACCAGGATTAAGCTTACTCGGAAGTAGAACTAATGTTGAATTTTTGTCTAGACCTTCGAAATGTGAATAGCAACAGCAAAGTCGTTTTGGCCTCTTTCAGACTCTAAGTTTAAACTAAAGTTGATTTGACTGAAATTTGAAAACAAAAATCTTATCGCGCATTTTATTCCCGGATTAAGTTAATCCGCTTTTCAGCGAACAACCAGGGTCTTCGATGCTGAGTTTTCTACCTGACGAGTGTTGTTTATTAGAAACATATTTATATATTGGTAAAAACTATTTCGTGATTTCATCAGAAAATATTAGTGTCGGCTGGGCATGTAAAACGAAGGCACTGAATGTAGATTTTATTCAAAAAAAGGTGGAGAGGTAAACTAAGGCCTAATGTGGCTAGCTTTGCGTTTTTAAGCTTTCCTGTGCTGCTGTTTTTTCTAAAAACAATAAAGATAGAGATTTTGAGGTAAAAATGAATGAGAAACCGTATAAGCAGTGAACTTTTGGGATTTGACAAATCAATCGCGATTAAACTGAAAAAGAAAATTCAAACCTTTGGCTTAACTCGTGACCTCTGCGTTGCGGCTATGCCACTTTGGGAAGAATCTCATTCTTTTTTTTAACTTCTGCCGTGAGATAAGTTGTATAACCAGAACGGGTTTTCGAACGCGTTCAGTTTAATGTTTCTCGGTACCATTTTAGGGTTAGTTTCGTGTGCTTATTAATATGTGTTCTTTTTGTGTTCTCTCTTTTACTTTCAAAAACGAAAATATGAAAACCATACCGCTACCATAATTTCTCTTTAAGGAATGTTAAAGATCAAATAGCAAAATGTTTGTTTCCTTAAACGAAACCGTTTTAAAAACATAATTAGATTTGAGGAATTGCCTGCCACGGTGTCTTGCAAAACCGTCATTATGGGATGAACAATGATACATTAAAAGTTTACATATTAAACATATTTGGGTATGATCTTTCTAAACTTTTTTTTGTCGTCTTGCGAAACCCAAAATAATGAACAGGACCAAAGGACTGCAAAAGCGAACCAGCAGCGAAGAAATTGCTCCTTCAAGTCGCGAAAGTTTACTGACAGACGTTTGTGTGGTGAAGGGCACGAACTCACTCCCGCACCAAACAAACCTCTGTAAGTTCAACAAATCATGTTCAAACTTGGCATCTTTACTAATTTCAAGGTTTTTTTTAGCCGTGTTGACGGATTTTCGCTAACTGGTTCGAGTTAAAAATTGAAGAAGCCTTGGAAGGGTCTATTTTACAGTTTTTTGCCCACCCATCGAGTGAGCATGGTGCATGAGGACTTGGGGTATGAAACTGACTGTCCATTGCTTCTCCGAATGATGCCGGGGATATCAGATCAAGCCCGTAACGGTCTCTACCCACACGGAAGCCTGCGTGGCAGTCATTTCGGTTTCTTTTTATTCAAGAGGGAGAAGCGGAGGAGACGCGTGAGGGCATGGGGGAGAGGGTGGGAAGGGACGGCTTGTAACCCTTTGCTTCACCGCCCCTTCCCCACTCCTAGTATTATTATTTTTTGCTCTCCCTCGCACGTCTCCCACGTTCTCCTTGCTTGCATAGCTAATGGGATTTTTCGTTAGCCTGAATTTCATCCGATTGCGTTCGTCCGAGTGAGTGCGAGTTTTTGGGCATTGAATGTCCGCGCAAGCTACGCAGGCTACGGTTTTCCCGCTTGGACAAAAGGAAACAGAAACACGCGACACCTACGAAGACTGCCAACATAGCCACATGTTAGGGCGGCCTGGAGACGAGAATGTATCGTATTGATATTCCAACTGTCTTTTCATTCCTTATCTAGGTCACTGTGCCAAGCTACAGGCCATCATTAATAAATCCGCCACGGACCCCAGAGCCGCTGACAAACCCTGGCTCGCGGTTATTGATGATGATACAATCATGAGGTGATTCAATATGAAGCTCAGTACAATATTGGACAAAATAGATGACAAATTTAGAGCCCCCTCCTCCCCAAATCAAGGATGGGAAAATGGCGCGTCTTGGCTTTCTCGTGGCTTCATCCTTATTCTTTCCTAGATCGTAGTTTTATATAGTATGAAAACCGGTTCATCTGGTTTTGTCAGAGTGCTTTTCTAAAATTAAAATGAAAGTATTTATTCTAGCCAATCACAATTGACGATGTCAATCTATTGAACCAATCAAAAATCAAAGCAAATGCTTGTAGCAGACGTGAAGCGCGGGAATGCGTGAGCAAGTAACTTTTCTCCTGATTGGTCAAGAAAGTGGCGCGAGATTTCCAGCCAATGGCAGCATGAAAAGGAAAAAAGAGCTTTGCCTTTCAGTTTGAGGAGGAGTGGTCTCGTTGCCAGAAATTTTGGCACATCAAACTTTTGCCGTGATGTTGCTTTGTCTGTGTAGATAATAAAAGCACACATTCCCGCTCCCGTTTTTCAGTTTCCACGCCCAACGTATTGACACAGTAAATTGAGTACTAAAGTGTGACGTCATAAAAATGAAATTTCTGAAATTATGGGATTGGTCCGGATATTCTGAAAGAACAATGTCCAAGAGGCCTACTTGCCAAAAATGAGCATTTGGGGGCAAATTGTCTCTGAGATCGTAGCCCAGTTATGCTTACAAAACTCCATACAAACCTAGCCTGAATTTCATCCGATTACTTCGAGTCGTTATTTCTCCCTCAGTAACGTCTGAATCGACCGGCCGTTAATGCCGTCCAGTGACGTCACTAGTCCTTGACCTTTGCTTTAATTCATGCAAAAAGTAAAACACGATTTTCAAGTGGCAAACCGAGAAATATCGTCTGGAAATGTCTGCATGATACAGAACTGCTTTATTTTTTTCGATCGTAATTCATGTTTAACGTTGAAACTATCAACTGCTTGCAGTACAACTCTGAACCGGTTGTACTAAATTCTATAAATATCAAACTCGGTCGCAATCACGCAAATGAAATAAACACACACACGGAAAAATTAGTTCAAAAACACAATGATTTGCTTTAATTAACGAAGAAAAAAAACAAGGAGACAAGAAAGAAAAGCTAACAGAATCATTACACTTGACGGTAAAAATAGCAAGAAGGTCGAATTATAACATTGATCTCAGAAAACTTCGCGTAAACAAAATCAACGGCCGCCGAAACCACAAAGCGGCTCTAAATGAAAAACTTACACACTCTCCGCAATGATTCTTCATTAGCAGTTCAATTTAGCACTTCAGTTTCGAAGACAAGGGCAATTTTGCTGTTTAAGATAAAGATTAAGCTTATCGAAATGTTTGAACTAAACGAAAGAATGCCGTGGATGCGATCCGCTGAATATCAAGCGACAATCCCGGTAAAATTTTTCATAATTATACATAATTATGCGAATGTTTAGACAATCAACCAATCAAAATCACTACCCGGTTTTCGGGTAGCGAGTGACGTCACTGGACGGCATTAACGGCCCGTCGATTCAGACGTTGTTGAGAGGAGAAAACGACTCGAAGCAATCGGATGAATTTCAGGCTACATACAAACCCTTCTAAATTTTTTTTGGGTCGACCCAAAAAAAAATTAGAAGGGTTTGTATGGAGTTTTCTGAGTATAACTGGGCTACGATCTCAGAGACAATTTGCCCCCAAATGCTCATTTTTGGCAAGTAGGCCTCTTGGACATTGTTCTTTCAGAATATCCGGACCAATCCCATAATTTCAGAAATTTCATTTTTATGACGTCATCACTTTAGTACTCTATTGAAAAGGCCAATAAATCAAGTGTTAGTAAGCGGCGTAAATTTCATCCGATAAAAATTATTTGTACTTAAAATGGACTATTCTCTTGCATAGTGTGCCCCGACTGCAGAAATTACTGGCGTGTTACGATCCAAAGGAAGTCACGCTACTTGGTGAGAGATACGCTTACGGACTGACGGGAGGGTATGGGTACGAGTATATCACCGGAGGGGGAGGGTAAGGTTTTTTAGCTTTGTTTACGATGTTCTTATGTGTTTTGTTTGATGTTTTGTCCTTACTTTCTTGCAGTGACATCTCGTTTGTCCCGCTGTTAGCCTGCAAATGCAGCCCCACCCCCCCCCACCCCCCCACCATCATCGCTCCCGTCGTCGTAGCCAAAATGCCGACAGCTCTCTCGCAAAACTTTCCCAGCGAAGGGAAGCGATAAAAGATGGCTTTATTCGAAGGCTATCCCGCTGTGGGACCAAATACCTAAGACCCGGGGGGGAGGACTCCGCATATGAAAGGGGTGGGGGTGCTCGTCGGAAATTTTGAATTAAACCCCTAAAGGAGACCGATCTGGGCGTGGCCCAAGCCTTGTTTGACCCCTAAAAGAGGTCGTGTTAAAACACAGACAATATATATTTTTATATTTTTTCGCGTGCAACCCTAAACGAGACCTTCACGGCTAAATATTATGGCGTTTTGCCCAGAACACCCTAAGTGAGACCAAAATCCGAAATTTACACCCCTAAGCGAGACGACGAGCATCCCCACCCCTTTAAACATTGCTGATATTTATGGCCTCCGCCAACTCATTTCTGAGCCTACTCGGATAACAGATAAATCATCTACTCTGATTGATTTAATTTATACAAATTGTCCTGAGAGGGTAGTCTGCTCTGGAGTCGCCCATATCAGTATTAGTGATCACAGTCTTGTTTGTGCGTTTCGTAAACTTTCCATTAACTTCCCAAAGGGTCACACTTCAATAACGTACAGAAACTTTAAAACTTTCAATCGTGCCAAATTTCGTAACGATATCTGCAATGAGAACTGGGAATTTTTGGCTCCAGCTCTTGATCCTAACCAAATGTGGACAGAGTGGAAAACCAAATTTTTACAAATTGTTGACAAACATGCTCCAATTCGAATTAAGCGCGTTAGATCTAAAAATTCTCCGTGGATTACTGCTGATTTGAAAGAACGCATGCATAATCGTGACACATTAAAGATCAAAGCAATCAAGTCGAATGATCCGCACGATTGGGCCAATTTTAAAAGAATGCGTAACAAAGTTAATACTGAAATTAAAGCTGCTAAAGAATTATTTTACAGCAATAAGTTTACTGAAACTAATGGCGACCCGCGTAAAACGTGGCAAATCATCCACGATCTTACATCTCGTAAAGCCGCTAATTTATCGATTAGAGAAATAAATCTAAATGGTACTTCTATATCTGAACCATCCGACTTGTCGAATGCTTTCAATGATCATTTCTCATCAATAGGACCTAAACTTGCTAATGACATCCCATTATCTAATAACAATGACCACTGCCATCGGAAATATGTCAA